CCGCCCTCTCTTCTTCGAGCTCGGGAGCCGGACCTCCTGGTCCACCTGACTACCTACCAGACCACCCCAACCCAACCCGAAGACCCGAATTTCGTGTTGGGTGGGGTAAGGGTCCCACATGTGTTTTTTCGATGTTTCCCGACCCCCCCCCACTGGAAATCGAGGGTAAATCTGAGCCTTCGGGTTGGGTTGGGGTGGTTTGGTGGGTGGTGACCACCTGCATGTAGTAGATGGCGAGGAGCGCGAACGAATAAGACGACAGCCTGCCACGAGAAGCGCCGCACACGCCGGCGACCTTCGCCCAGAGCTTCACCTGAGGGACAACCATCGGGGGGGACTGGGGAATCAGCGATACATCGCCGATAGATCGGCGATGGGCCCCCGATAGGAAGTCCGCACCTTCCTCGGCGGGGCGGGGCTGCCAGACCCCTAAAGCGATTGGGGGTGAATATATGCCCCCCTGCATCGCTGCCCCGGATCACCGCTTTCACAAGGCTTCGCACCCGGTCGTCGAGGTGCGCGTACCCGCGCAGGAGGCGCGTGTTCTGCAGCCCCCGCGTGTTCTGGCAGGACAGGTCCACGTCGAGCAAGTCGTTGAAGCGAAGCTTTAAGATGGGCACCCTGGCACGCAGCACCTCTGCGGGCAAGGTTTGTGATGAGGAAGATCCCGATGAGAAGGAGGAGGGGGAGGAGGAGGGAGAGGAGGAGGAGGAGAACGAGGAGGAGGAGGAAAAGGATGAAGAAGAGGAGGCCTCGCGCGGCAACTTGAGACCCAATTTACGTCGGATCCACGTCGGATTTACGTCGGATGCAGGTCGGATGTACGTCGGAGCATCGCCGCGCGAACTGGATAGCAAAACTGTTGCGCGCCGCGCGAGGTCTCCAGGATTTGCCTCATAAGGATTTGTATACATATCCACGGTGGCCTGGACTTCGGGAAGGGATTCCAACACCCGAGGCGCTATGGATACGGATAAAAATCTGGCCTCGCCTGAGGCCAGAACTTCATACATGTTCACTGTGTCCGGGTTTCTATCGGCGGCGAACGAGTGGGGGAAATGAGACGGAAAAGGCCTTCTCAGAAGGCGGCGGGACTTCTCAGAGGCCCTTGCGCGTTCTGAGAATTTTTTCCTGTCTCCGGGGAAGGCTCAGGAAACTTCTCAGAAGCTCGAGGGGCTTCCAAGACTTCTGAAAGCCCACGCCTTCTCGCTTCCCCCCCTCGCTCGCCGCCGACTCCGAGGACGAGAGCCCAAAAATCCGAGACGCAGTGGAAGTGGAAATGGAGGAGGAGGAGGAGGAGGAGGAGGAGGAGGAGGAGCAACCTCCTCCAAGATCTTGAAGCGGGGGTGATCCCGGAACAGCGGGCCGATCTTCTCGGACATGAGGCTGGCCGGGGTCTGGCCGGCGGGCAGGCCGCCCCGGCGCAGGCAGGTCACGTCCAAGTCGGCGCCGCACGTGTGGAATGTGCTGGGCACGCTGCCGAAGGGCCTCACGCACCACTCCTCCCCGGCTTGCGTCAGGGTGGCCTCCAGGCTGCCGAGCGCCGCGCGGATCCGGGCGCCCTCCTCCCACCTCGCGGCGCTCTGTGCCAGCCTCTCCTCCAGGAGCCTGGCCAACTCCGCGACCCTGGCCTCGGCGTGCGCTGCCGGCCTCTGCTGCATCTCTACTGGCGCGCCGTGTGGTGCTGAGACTGGCCGATTTAAAAGTTAAGCTGCAGGCTCGCTCTGACAAACCGCATTCGCTGGAGCCCGTCACGGTTTTCGACCTGCTCGAGGCTCGAGCGAACGACCGACGACGACCGACAACGAGGACGAGGACGAGGACGACGGACGACGACGGTAGACGACGGACGACGACGACGACGACGACGACGACGACGACGACGACGACGACGACGACGACGACGACGACGGCGACGGACCGACCGACCGACCGACCGACCGATCGAGACGACGACGACCGACGACGACGACGAGGACCAACCCACTGACCGACCGACGACCGACGACCGACGACCGGACCGACCGACCGACCGACGGACCGACCTACCGACGACGACGACCGACCAAGGACGGGCCAGCCGCACGCGCACGAGGGCGCGCGCGCACTGGCCACCTTTGAGGGCGAGGCGCGGCTGAAATGCTCGGGACTGCGCCCCCGGGCCCGGCCTGGCGCCCTCCCTCCCCCGCCGTGTGCATATCATTACAACCCGAGGCGTGGAGCGGTTCCAGCCCTCATGCCTCGGAAAGCGTTCCAGCCGCCCAAGCCGACGAGACAAGCGCGCTTCAGCCCATCTTTGCGAGGGAACGCGTCCCAGAGGCACACGGTGCGGATTCCAGCCCTCACTTTTTACGAGGGGCTGTGTTCCAGCCGCTCATGCGGACAAGACGAATGCGCTCCAGCCCCTCACTTGCACGAAAAACACATCCAACGGACAGGCCGACCGACCAACGAACGACGACGGCACGGACCGACCGACCGACAGACCGACCGAAACGACGACGACCGACGACAACGACGAAGACCGACGGAACGACACACCGACCGACCGACGACCGACGACCGCAACGACAAACGGACCGACCGCACCCGTCCGAGCGCACGCGCACTGAGCCACGCCTGGGCCACGGCCTCAACTAAAGCGGACGAACACACCTCGTCAAAATTCTCACTAGCAAATGATGCTGCTGACTGTGGTGAACGTGCGCATGACACTTTGCACCAGTGTGTAGACGTGCACGAGTGTGTTGGTCTCAACATCACCGAACTCAGCCTGCATACACGCATGCCGCATGAATACGACGAGCGGTACGCACACCTGACGCACTCAGTACGTACACGCGTACATGTGCATGCTCACTTCTCCCGCTGCTTTGCGAAGAGTGGCATGGTCGATGCAACCTGGATCTCACATTCGGTAGGGGTTCTAGTAATATTTGCGATCACGTCGGTACTGATGGAACACTGCATGCTCGAAATGTTCTGTTCACGTACGGCCCTCGGCGCGCTGGGGTGAGATGGTATGCCTCTCACCGCGTGTCCGTCCTCCCCCCCCCTCCCTCCCCCCCCGCCCGCCTCCCCATCCCTCCTCCCTCATTCCTCCCCTCTGTTCCCCCTTCTTTCTCCCCCCTCCGTCCTCCTTCCTCCATCCTCCCACCTCCCTCCTCCTCCCTCCTCCTCCTCCTCCTCCTCCTCCTCCTCCTCCTCCTCCTCCTCCTCCTCCTCTCCTCCTCCTCCTCCTCCTCCTCCTCCTCCTCTTCCTCCTCCTCCTCCTCCTCCTCCTCCTCCTCCTTCTCCTCCTCCTCCTCCTCCCAGGCTCAACCTGCGTCGCTACGGAGTCTGTCGCGCCGCAGCTTTTGGGGAATGGCGCGGCCAGGCGCGCGCCTTGCAACCGCCATTAGCCGCGCCCCGCGGACGACGGGCCAAGGGGCACCGCAGGATCGACGCGGACCTGGGCGGGAGCGCGGCGGGCTTCGCCGTCGCGGGGCGGGGCAAACCCGCCGCCCCGCGACCCCCTGGAGAGGCGGGGGCCGCAAACTCCTGGCGGGGCCCGAGAGAGAGAGGGAGAGAGAGAGAGAGAAAAACAAAAGAAGAGAGAGAGAGAGAGAGATAGAGAGAGAGAGAGAGAAATAAAGAAATACACAAAGAAAAACAGCGAAAGAAAACACATAAACATGAAGAAAGGAAAAGCAACTAACCAGAAGAGGCGCCAGGCTCACCACGTGGAGCTCCAGGAGCGCCACCAACCCGCCGACGGCGGGCGGCCCCCGCGTCTCCCCGGTTCTTCCTGCACCAGGGGGGCACAAAGTACCCCGCGGCACCGCGCGGGGCACACGGCGCGTGTTGCCGTGCGTGGGCAGCCTGGTCCGCACCCAGAGGCCCCCCCTTGCCCAAGGGGGGCCAGGCGGTACACGTCTTGAGCCGTACTCTCCACGAGAGTCGGCCCTTCTGGCCACACCCGACACCCCGACGTCAGGAGAGGGCCCCAGCAGTGGCCAGAGCCAGCCCGCGCACAGGCTGGTACAACTCAGGCCGACGCAGACTGGAGAACCAGTCCGCGCCAGCCCTGGGGGGCTACCCACGCGTCCGCAGACCCCAGAACGTCGGGCTCCCCAGGAGCCTGAGACGGCAGACCGACTCCGCACGGGGACCACCCGGTAGAGCGTGGGGGGCCGAAGACCCGCACGGGTTGTTTAGGCAGAGAAGGCCACCAAGAGAAAGGGCCCAGCTCGAAGAATGTCCGTAATAAGAGGCTCACCGAGCAAGGCCACTCTGTCTTCAAAGTTGGTGGCGTGTTTAACTGTGCTCGTGGATTGTGCAGGGTCCCCGCTGTGAAAGGAGAACTTGCTAGTTTCTGGCCTGCTCGGTGACCTGGGGCGTTCGTGCTTGGGTCCTCCGAGGCGGCTGGGTTGGGCTCCTCGTCGGCTGCGGGCCCGACCCTGGGGAATCCGAGTGGGCATCGATGTTTCGGTCGTGCGCATCCGACGCGCGGCCTGGCTGAAATCAGAGGAGTTTTGTTTTGTCGAGGATGTGGGTGTTTTGCGGTCAGCCTTGCACAGAACCTTACTCAACCTTGCCCTCCCGAGCAGTCTGCGACCGGCAGGCGCAACCTCGACGGGCTGTCGGAAGGTAAGCCCCCGAAGTACGGCATGTCCCAGCACCGTAACTGTCTGGTGCCAGGGCCGAGCTTGCACTCGTTCACCCCTGTTTGCTGGAATCGCTGGAATCCTCCTCCTCCTCCTCCTCCTCCTCCTCCTCATGCTCTCCCTCCTCCTCCTCCTCCTCCTCCTCCTCCTCCTCCTCCTCCTCCTCCTCTCCTCTCCTCCTCCTCCGCCTCCTCGTTCTCCTCCTCCTCCTCGTTCTCGTTTTCCCTCTTCATCCTCCTCCCCCTCCTCCTCCCCCTCCCTTCCTCCTCCTCCTCCTCCTCGCTCTCCCCCCCCCCCCCCCCGCACCCCCTCTTCCTCCAGGGACGGGGGGCGGGGCGGCGGGCGGGCGGGCACAGCGTCTGCCCGCTGAAGCTGCCCCCCAGCACGCGGATGGGGTCCAGCACGAAGCGCGGCCCGATCTCCGTCAGGCTCTGGGCGGAGGGTGGTGCGCTGGTGAGGGGCAACTAGAAAAAGAAAAAACGGCATACACATCATCTTTTTGGCGTGCACATAAACAAGAAATCCGCGCGGAGCGCCAAACATTAATTTTTGTGTTGTTTTTGATTATTCGGGCAAAGTTCCCTGAGATCCGGGCGCTGCAGTGGCTTCACACCAGGCGTTGTCGACCGGTTTCGAGCCTTGGGGCCATCACATGTCGATGCAGCTCGAAAAACGCAGCGGAAAGATGGAGTCTGGGGCTCCGGCCGTGATTTGTCGCCTGTATTTATTTCGCAACGACGGATCTCCGGGTCAGGGGCGGGCCCTTTTCGAGTCATGTTTTGAAACACTTTCGTCGGTTATCGGACGTTATCCTGCCCCTGGGGTGCTCTCCAACAACTGCGCCTCACCGAGGGCGTTCCGGGGGTGCCCGGATCGTCCCGAACGGCCGCCGGAGAGCCGAGATATGGCCCGAAAGCACCCAAGTTGAGCAGGGACCGACCGTCCCGGCATTCTTATTGGCCAACCACGACATGTTCTTAGAACCCACACATGTTCTAAGAACAAGAACAATGTTCCTAGAACATAAGCCCGATCTGTTCAATCAAGACAGCCCCAGCCAGAAATGTTCTAAGAACATGTCGTGCAAACCACAAAAGGTTCTTGGAACATTCTTTGGTGGGCCTATAAGCGAGCCAGGACGCTTCGCCACTGCTAGACCAAGGGACAAGCTCTTACATCGCCGATAAATCGGCGGTAGCGAAACCACACGGTCCTGAGCGGGGCCGGCTGTCGAGCCCCTCTCGGCGATCAGTGGGCGATTCAGGGTCGATGCATCCCCGTCTGCGCCTATCCCCTCCTTAACGTTGCCCCTGAGCTGGGGGCCGTCAACGAACTGCCGAGGGCAAAGGGGCGCCCACAAGGAGGCCCCTCGAAGATCGACGACGACGACGACGATGACGACGACGGCGGACCACGATCTCCATCGGGCTCTGGGCGGCGGGGGAGCGTTGGGGGTCGTCGACGAGACGCCGAGGGCGAAGGTCGGGTCGGACGAAGGAGAGGGGTAGCACGCAGGGGTGGGGGGTGGGGAGCGAATCAACTCACGTAGCTGGTTTTCCTGGCGCCTCCCAGCCTGGAGGCGCCAATGCACCGAAGAAGCGCACCAAGCGGCGGGGCCGAAACGAATGCTGATGTCGTATAGGAGCCCGACCACAAGAAACCCAAACCCTGGAACCCCAGGACGTCCATTGATCTCTGTGGTGTGGGAACGTCACGCTTTCCATCGCAAAACCATCGAAACCCAAGAAACCTAGGGCACCCTGGAGGCGAACAGGGTGTTTCTTGGCATGTGCCTCCTCTGTACCCCTCTTTCCCATTCCCCCCCCTTTCCTCGCCGACGAGGGCAACGACAACGACGACGACGACGACGACGACGACGACGACGACGACGACGACGACGACGACCCCTTTCGAACATTGACGGCGATGGCGGGGCACGGTCTCCGTCAGGCTCTGGGCATGGGGGGCGTAAAAGGTTGCTGGCGAACCCGTCGCGGAAGATGGTAAGCAATTCGCCAACCACCGGGCGAAGGGCGTGCTAAGATCTCCGGTAACTCGTTAACAATATTTCTAGTTCGCGCGCGCGGGGCAACCCCCTGGGGGTACCCGGACGAAAAGTACCCCGGCAAGGTCCCAGGCAGGTCCAGGCTAGGTCCCAGCAGGCTCCCAAGAGCGCTTCACGTGGCCTCCAAGAGAGCTCAACATGGTCCGAGACGGTCCAAGAGCGATTCAAGACGCCAAAGATGACCTCCAGACAGCCCAAAGCGCCTTCAAGACGACCCAAGAGGCCTCCAAGAGACCTTCCAAGAGGCAGAAATTATTGATATTCCCAGAGTTTTCAAGGTTTTTGCCGTTCTCGCCTTTTCGGCTTACCGGCGCTCCAAGACGGCCCAAGAGGCTTCCAGGATCGCCCCAGCACAGCCCAAGAGGGCTCCAAGAGCGCCCAAGACGGCCTCAGAGGGTCCCAAGACAACCCCAGAGGCCTCCAAGATGGCCGAAGAGGCTCCTAAGACAGCTCCAAGAACGGGCCCAAAGATTGTTCATCAATGTCTTTCCAATCGTTTTCCAATCATTTCTCAGTGGTCTGCCAGTGGTGTTCCAATGGTTTCCCAATGGCTTCCCGATGGCGTTCCAATGATTTCTCGATGGCTTTCCAACGTGGGCCCAAAATAGATCCTCATGGTTCCCCGATGCGTTTTGATTGCATGCGCGTACACTTGCTCGCATTTGCATGTTGCTTGCATATGCGTGTCTTGCATTTGCTTGTCTTTGCATGTACTCTCATGTTGTGTGCATGTGCTTGCGTTTGCCATTGCACTATCATGCACGTTGCGTGCTGGTTGTCAATGGTTGGTGCCGCACGCGTTGTTGCCCTGTGGTCGGCGCATCCTGGTTAGTACTCTATGGTTGCTACCATTTGGTTCGCTATGGTTGGGATCCTGTGGTTGGTGCCCCATTGCTGGTGCCTTGTTTTTAATGCCCTGTGGCTTGGTACCATATGATAGGCACAGCCTATGTACTGCATTTCACGCGTGAGGCAACACGTAGCTTGCGCATCGGGGGCGCTAGAGCCCACCAAAGTCAAAGAGATCATCACACCTCCGGGGCAGCCGTCTGGGCGCGAACGCCATCCAGCACTTTGGCATTTGACCCCGAAACGTGCCTGCGAGGGCGATGGTGCCAGAACAGCCTGGCACTCTTCGCCGCGCCGCCGCCTCGTCCGCCGATCCCCCCGCCCAACATGGGTACACTTTTGAAGCGCACCGTCGAGACAACTGCACCGTGCCCGCCGCTGGCGACGCTCTCAAGAAGAAGCTGGCCAAAGCTCTTCAGCCCGAGGGTGAAAGAAACGCCCAACTCACTGAGGCATGCGCATGGCCGTTTTCGACGCATCGTCCACTCCATTCTAAGAGCCCTGAAGATGCATGGCGATATGGTGCCCCTCACAGCAAGAGCTCCAGAAGCAGGATGGATGCAGCGCCCTCGTGGAACCTAGGGGGGTGCATCTTGGGATACCTAATGCCGGGAAGCAAGCAGAGCTGCCCGTGCGGCGCACCCACGGCAAACCCTGAGGGCGTCTTCGATTTTCGAGCGATTCCACTTGCACCTGCGTCGACGTGGAGCCTCCCCCCCCGCAGACGTGCAAGCTGCTTCTGGCTTGCTTGGGGCGCGCCCCCCCCCCTGTCGATGCAAGTGCTTGCCAGAATTACGTCGGGCATGTCCGCCTACAGGCACATTGTCGACGAAAAATAAAAAATGCTCAAACCAATTTCAAGAGTTGTCAAAAATAGTGATATAACAAATCGTCTTCTTTAAACAAATATGTTTGAATATTCCTCCTGTTGAAGGGACATCGGGCCGGGCGAAAGGGGGGGATACCAAAGGGGGGGGTTGAGAATCAGCTCACGTAGCTGATTTTCCGGCGCCTCCCAGAGCCAGAGGTGGCTATGTATCGAGGAATGGGCCCGGCGGCGGGGCCGAAACCAGCTGCACGCAGCAGACTTCGTAACCCCCCCTTTTCCTATCCCCCCCCTGTCGTCCGGCCCGAGTAGAGGGACAGGCCCGGCTCAATGCCACACTCTCAGGACAAAACCGTCGCCGGAGATCCGAGAAGCTCCTCGGCAGGTTCCCCCGAGGCGAGCCTGCTTCTCGGGGTTGTCCTCGTCGCCCACGGTGTCCGGGGAGATCTGGTAGTGGCGGAACCTGCCGCGGCGGCCCCGCCCCCCGCCCCCTGGGAGGGCGGCGGGAAGGCGAGGGGGGGGCGGCAGGGGAGAAGGGAGCGAAGGAAGCATCATCCTCCGTGTCACCCTCGTGCTCTTCTTTTTCCTCCTCCTCCTCCTCCTCCTCCTCCTCCTCCTCCTCCTTCTTCTTCTTCTTCTTCGTCTTCGTCTTCGTCTTCTTCTTCTTCTTCCTCTTCTTCCTCCTCTTCTTCCTCCTCTTCCTCCTCCTCCTCCTCCTCCTCCTCCTCCTCCTCCTCCTCCCCCTCCTCCTCCTCCTCCTCCTCCTCCTCCTCCTCCTCCTCCTCCTCCTCCTCCTCCTCCTCCTCCTCCTCCTCCTCCTCCTCCGCCTCCGCCTCCGCCTCCTCCTCCTCCTCCTCCTCCTCCTCCTCCTCCTCCTCCTCCTCCTCCTCCTCCTCCTCCTCCCTCTGGCCCGCTTAGGGGGCCCCGAGTCGGTCACGCAGCCGCTGCAGGCGCGGCACCCTACCTGGCCTGCTCAGGTGGCCAAGGAGGGGTGAACGCCGGACACGGCCGTTCCAGGCGCGGCAACACGGGCCACCGTGCCCAACAGGGTGGCAAGGCCAGGTAGCTGGGCCCACCACCGGGGTTGAGGCGCCCCAATGCCATATCACCTCAACGGTCGTGGCCGTGTTCGGCCTCGGGGGGCCCTCGCCAGGCCTCGGGGCCGTCGAGGGAACGACTCGGGATGAAAAGCCCGTCCCGGGGAACGGGTCGGAACTTCCAGGGACCCCGTGCTGGAAAAAACCGGACGCCGCAGGTCTGGGAAGAGGAGCCCCGAGAGAGTCCACCAGCGGCGCCCAAGAAGCCCCTCGTGTGCAGTGCGCAGGGCGACCCGAGAAAGTTCCAAGTCGGCTCCACCACGGCCCCCAAGATGGCCCAGAGATGGACCGAGACGGCTCCCAAACGACCCAGATGGCCCAAGAGGGCCTTCAATGAGGCCCCTGCGAGTTGGACAACTGCGGTTGGTCTCTCCTGCTCCACGGTTTCCCAAAGCCCTCCTAGACCATCAAATGGCCTCGATGTGACCCGCAATCTCCCCCCCCCACCCTCACGACGACCAGCTCCTTGCAACCTCTGTGTGGCGATCAATATGGCTGAAAGTGATACCAGAATGACAATGTGTTCTCCAATTCGCGCAGACGCAGATGATACTGTTGAGTCGCACGGGCGCGACAGAAAACTGTGGAATGGTATCCTAATGCGGATGCGACAGATTACATCATGTAGTATAGACTATTCAATGCGTGCCATTTGCAAGACGAAGCGTCAAACTCAAGCCGGCTATGCAACGATGCTCGGAGATGACCTTAAAGCGCGCCACCGCGCTGGCAGCGGCTGGTGTTAGGCCCCTGTTTGTTGCAATAGCTCCCCTTCTTCTGGTGAAATACTGCAGCGAACCCCCCTGGCGCATCGAGCCCAACATGCGCTTATCTGCCTGACCGAGTTTCTGCGCCGTTGCTCTTCACGGGCATGCAAATGATCGCAACAACCAAAAGAAGCCTTCGGTGGCAACACATGGGAGCCTCCCATACCATATTGTCGGCTCTCGCGAGTCGACGCTAGTCAACGCTAATCGACGCCAAGTCGACGCAAACCGACGCTGACAGACGCTATCTATCTCATCGACTCCCAGACGCTATTTGACGCTAGAGACGGACATACATGATTTGCGACCAGGAAGAGGCGGAGAAAGGGGAGGAGGAGGAGGAGGAGGAGGAGGAGGAGGAGGAGGAGGAGGAGGAGGAGGAGGAGGAGGAGGAGGAGGAGGAGGGGGGGGGAGGAGGAGGAGAAGTCGAGAAAGAAGAGGAGGAGGGGAGGAGGAGGAGGAGGAGGAGGAGGAGGAGGAGGAGAAGAATAAATGACCGCAACCACTAAAACGAAGCCCTGCTGACACGATCCGTGGCGCCTTCCTCCCCGGGCCCTCTCCCCCCCCGCCCCCCCTCCCCGCTCCCCCAGGGGCTCGCTCGAGCGCGGCGGCAGGTTCGCGCGGCAGCGCAGGTGGGTACCAAGGCAGCCGCCCCTGCAGCACGAATTCTGAAAATCTGAAGAGCAGGAAGTCGCGCGGCCATGAGCCTGCCGTCGGCTAAAGCACTACACGCCGCCACGCTGGTCCGCCGGAGGGAGACGAGGAGGGGAGAAGCAGGCGGACGACGACGAACGCGCAGGCAGGAGGCCAGGGCAGGCGGGGCGGGCCGGCAGGCGGAAGAGGGGCCAATCGAAACGTCACCCGCATGCCAACCAGACAGACCGCCAAAGCTGCTTGGCCTGAGCATGCTGTTGATCCGTTTTGGATGTCCGCGCACTCTGGCTTCGTGCCTTGTGAGCGTGTCGTTCGGGCAAGGTTAGCACACATGGTATCGTTACCTCGACGGTGAGTGAGACATGCGGGTCAGACGTATTGTTATCAAGATCAGAATGCGTGCTTCCAAAAGATGAGAGCGTAAACACATCAACCCAGCGACTCTGCACAGCACGGTGCTGAATTTGGGGGAACCACTGTACGAATTGAAATACCAACTGGCATTGGCCGTCGCGTCATCACGTCGGGCAGAAGTACGGAATCACCACTGCGCTGGGCAAGCTCGCCCAGCCTAACTTCGCAAGAACGTCTGACATGCAATCGCCTGAATGAGGCCGGCCTTAAATCCAACTCCAGGGCAAAAGCCCCTGTAAGTGTTGAAAACCTAGACACCACATTTCGGATTGTCTTCGAACTCTCGAGTCGACCCCTTGAAAAGGGCACCTCGTCGGCCCAGTCCGCGAAGCGCGATTTTCCTATCGCCCTTGCGATTTGCCCCCATGCCTTTCTGCTGAAACGTCCACTTCTTCTGTTGAAGCGACCGGTGACATCGTTCAATTCCGTGTTCCAAGATGGGCGGTTAGACAAAGAGCCCAGGAGCGAAGCCACTCCTCACGATGCCATCTGCGGAATTCATGCACTGTTGAAGAGGTCGAAGACGTCCTTTGCAAACTCATGATTTGCAGCTCGCGCCTCTTGGAGGGCAGATGGGAATTGTCGGGCTGAGCTTACGTCTGCCAGCAGGTCACCGCTGTAGACTGTAGGAGGGTGCTTCATCCACGAGAACTTGCTGGACCAGACGTCACAAACGATTACTTTCTTCCCTAACAGTGTTGCCCAGTATGTGCCATGATAAGACGATGTAATAACCACGTCGTATCTTCGGATGAAGGAAACAATTGGGCCCAAGTCAGTGCCTGCGTTTGTAATCACGTCCGTCTGGTTGAGCAGTCCCCTGGCGATCCAGTCCTCCAGGTATTTCGCGACAGGGTTCCCCTCGGGCACTGTACTACAAAAGACTGCAAGCCTCTCCGCACCTTGGGCCTGCGGCTGGGCAGCTTCTTGGTCAAATGACGTGTGCAAACAAGATGCACAAGGTACCCAACGTATCCTGCCAGATGTGTCGTAATCTCTGGCCCCTACGAGGACGTGGCTCTGCAGCCCAGCGTCTGCCAGATCCGCCACCGTGCCCCCTGGCGCGAGGAGGCGGGCAAGAATGCCACAGGCTATCGAGCAAGGTTTTCTGTGACCTTATAGAGGGGCGCCTCTCGGGCGTTGGCAGAACTGGGTTTAATGGGACCTGGTTTAGTGATGTTATGTACTGGGGGACGCCCCCCCCGCCACGCTCCACCAACCGGAATTGCCGTCACCCGAACAAACACCAGCTACGGCAGACCTGGTTCAGCGACTCTGGCTAATTTAGGGGCTCCGGGACTCTACTACTAACTGGGTCCCCTCACCTGGGGTCCTGGCTATGCCTGACCCTCCTCCTACAGTCGGACTTCATTGGAGAGGACACGCGAAAGGACGGCAGAACCTTCCGAGGGCCACATTGCCATAGGGATTCGGGAGGCATGGGTCGCGAGACACAGGGCACCAGGGTAACTTGATTTGGCAGGGTAGATCTACTACTCCGAGCCTGCTGCATGGTCGCACGTCGCCTCGTGCACTGGCCCTCCTCCCGAGGCCAAAAGTCCTCGCAGAGATGCCACGGGTTCCCGCTCCCGAGGCCAAGCCTCCCCCTGCAAAATGCGACATTCTAAAGGGCCCCCTCCGCCTGTGGTCGCACTTCCCCTCGTGCGCTGGCCCTCCTCCCGCGGCCACGGGTCGCTCGCAAAGCTACGACAGACTCCTGCTCCCGAGGCCACGCTTCCCCCTGCAACATACGACACATCTGCGCTACCGACGCCACGAGGCCTCCAAGACGGCTCCGTGTGCCTCGAGGACGGGACGGGCCTTTGTGACCTCAAGGCCACCCAAGGTGACCTCAGGACGGTCCACGAGACCTTCGAAACGTCCAGAGGGATTCCCAAGAGCTTTCCCAAGAGGGCCTCGACAAGCAAACGTCCATGCTTGTCCTGCGCCACTTGGGATTCCCGCCGTTTCGAGTTTCCGATGTCCCAAGACGGCCCAAGGCGGCCCAAGGGGCCCCGAAGAGAACCCCAAGACGGCCGAAGAGGTCCCCAAGACGGCCCCAAGACGGCAGAAGAGGGCTCCCAGACGGCCCACGAGGCGCCCAAGATTGCCCAAGAGGGCCCCGAGACGGCCCCGAGAAGGGCCCAAGGGAGCCCCAAGACGGCCCAAGAGGGCCCCAAAGAACCCCCAAGACAGTTTCACAGGAGGCCAAGGCAGCCACGGGACGGCCCTAACGAGTTTCACGAGGGCTCGCCAGCTAATGAAGACGAAAGGTGTCACGTGTGACGGTCTTCCTCCTCCTCGTCTCCTCCTGCTCCTCTTCCCCCTGCTATATCACATCATCCTCATCCTCATCCTCCTTTCCTCCTTTCCTCCACCTCCTCCTCCTTCTCCTCGCCACCACCACCGCCACCACCACCGCCACCACCACCACCACAACCATCACCATCATCATCATCATCATCATCATCATCATCACCACCACCACCACCACCACCACCACCACCACCACCACCACCATCATCATCATC